CTAGCCAACATGTGGAAAGGAAAAAAAAAGGCATGAGAAAAACATTGCTTTACAAATCTTAAAACTTTATTATAAAGAAAAACTTAATATTTTGTGTATGAAATCATTGTCATGTTTACTGATAATCTGCCAAATTTTGTTAATGTAACCTTACTAATTTAAAAGTTATAGCATGAAATCTATAACAAGTACAAAATTGTTACAAGGTCCGTCCCACTGTGCTGAAAGAAGTTAATGTACTCTGGGGGATAGAGATTCTGATATATTGTGGCTCAGATTCGTATCCAACCATTGTTCTCTCCTGTTTGGATGTGCTCCTCTCATGTCTGTGACACCTCTTTTCACACTGGGTGAAGAATATACCTGGTACAGAAGTGGTGCAGTCTCTCATGTATGATCCTATAATGTGAGGATCTACTCCTTTAGGGTGTTCTTCAGATGCTTTTAAGGAATGATTCTTTGTTTTCCCTTGCACTGGTCCCTCCACCTATGTAACGTGGGATTCTAGCTATTTGTGAGAGGTAACGTACCATATCGGAAATTATAATTTTCCTATACTGAAAATATATTTCTGTTACCTCTTTTTACACTCCAACCCTCTTCCCCACTGAATACTCTGTTGCTTCCATTTTATTCCAAAATTTGATTTGATAGTTTGGTAGAATAGAGGGAGTCACATGCAACAGTAGAGTGTTGCACACTTCTATTGGTGCATATGAGATACAGTTGAACCATTTGATTGTAAGGTACATGGGAGCTCAAGGCTTGTGGCATGCGAAAAACTTTTTGCATATAGAGGACAGCACTGAAGGAGAATAACTATTTATGTGAGAGAAGGTAAGTACCTATCGGAATAATATTTTCACTATAGGAAAATTATAACTTTCAATTGATCATAGTATGAGTTTTGTTGTCCCTTGTAAGTTAGTAGGTTTATTATAATTTAAAGCTGATAATTGTACAGACCAGTGCTTGATAGAGATGTATTAAAGACTAAACAATCTGTCACTATTTTGAAATTAAAGATGGTGAAGGTGGGTATATAAATAAAAATGGCATCAGATTTATTTGTTTAGCATTAGTCAAAACAGCAGCAAGAGAATTTGTGAGACAAATGCATATTAATATTAGTGTTCAGTTTGTGTTTATCTTAATCTCACTGTATTTTTAACTAACCAAATTAGAAACCTCCAGATTGTATTTGTAAATGTAACTGTTCTTCTTTAAGGTTCTAAAGTTATCAGTGTGAAACAGCTAGAAGTTTGGAAATGAGCTAGGGGAACATCAACACCCATTATCATATACTCATGAACATTTGAAGATATATATATTCAGTGAAGAGTTTTTGTTTCAGTTAAAAAATCTCATAATATTAAAAAAAAATGGAAGTTAAATTTCTACGATCTTAAAAATCCACTTTAAATTAACATTTTTGTAATGTGTAAATAAAAGGTTTGGTGTTTGTGGATTATCTGACAGTATCATGTAAACCATGTAGAAACAGCTCTGTTATCTGAATTTATTGAGTTTTTTGGTTTTAATTTTTTTTTTTCGTACTTAATATTATACTGGTTTACTTGTGTTGACTAATGGATTTTTGTGGTTCTCAGTGGATAATTTCCTGAATTCAAGTGACAGAGAGACAATGACTGTAAAGGATCAGCTGATTAAGTTGTTAGAACTCTTGGATAAAGTTTCTTTTATCAAGCATGGAGGTAAACTTATGAAATACTTTGTTGTTTTATACTTTGTTTCATAAAAGCTGTTAAATTATTTTTGGCTAATGACATTTTGTTCAAATTTTACCAATTTTTATCACCCAAAAAGTACCGATTATAAGCAAGCCAGGATAAAAAAACATGTAAATATTAAGTTATAAATTGTTTTTTACATTTTAAAAGGACTAACTCTTCCATTGGGTTTAAAGGTCTCCTCAAGATTCACAGAGGCTCTAGCATACCCTCCTCCATTAATCCACAATCATTTCTATACCTATCCAAAGGGGGGGTCCAGCCAAAAACAAATCTTGTTGGGACACTCACCCATGACACCTGAGCATATGTGTGATGTTTGATCTCACAAGTCGAGTGAATGTACAAAACACAGTTTCAAACATTGGACCACTTTAAGATCCTGAATGGGGGCGAGGGACACAAACTCTGATGCCAGGTTCAGGTTCATTAACCTTGAAAATATTTTCCTAGACTCTCATCATGCTGGAATGATTCTAGATGAGCTCCTATTTTTTAGTAGTTGTTATAAAAGGAAATGATACCAAATGAGCAGACCGAGTTATTTCATTTTATGCAATATTTAACTTTGTAGATAAGTTCAACTGCAGGTAATTGGTATCAGTGGTGTTAAAGTTCTGACTGTAAACTTTTCTTTTTGTTTTTGAGCAAAGAATGAAAATAAAGTAGTTTGTAACCTAAATTTCTTCTGGAGTGTAAATTGTTTTCTTACGTACTAGCTTCAGACTAGTAGGCATAAGAAAGATACTAACCCAATCTGAAATTCTTCTAGCCCTACTATTTTTGTCAGATAATTAGGCTATATACACAACAGACTGGTGTTCCCGCCAGATTGAAAATAATACAGTTTTCTACAGTATATATGAGAGTACTACTGATGTAAAATCTGTGGACAGATTATCCAGTCTACATATGCGATGGATTAGTATTCCTGACATATTGAAAATAACATGATTTGAATCAGAATATATAAAACATTAAATCTTTAGGCAGGTTATTCTAACCTTTGTCTTCTTCCCATTCTACCCAGAAAAAAGATTGCAGAGTTTTGAGTGGTAGATTGAGACATTTTGCCAAAAACACAATTCTGTCATCTTATATCAATAAAATTGAATTGAAATATAACTATCCTACTCCCAGTGAAAAATAACCACATACATTAATGTGCTTTAAATATAAAACTAAATAATCAGACAATTAATGTACAAGTTAGTCATGGATATGTGTTTTTATATTACATTTATGATGGATTAGCCTGTTGTTGGTAAACAGGCTAGTGATCATACAAGAATATCATTGGGAAGACATTTAAGAATTTGAGAGAAAAAATAACAAATAATATTTTTGAAAGTTCTAATTACCAAATATAAATCTTAGATGTTACCTTAGTTCATTTTTCATGCACACACAACCAAACCAGCCCTGTGTTAGTACGTATAGAATTTACAGTGGTCTGAACTCAAAATTTGGTAGTCTTCGGCACTGTGCTAAAGGATTTTTACACATGTTTTTTGTACAGAATTTGTTTTTAATCATTGTACTTTATAAGGAAGGTTCATACAGTCTTCTCATTACTTAGTTTACTTTACATTTTATAGCTACCAGAGTGAAAAAACTGAAGACACTAAAGTTGGAGATTACAAAGGCTCGTAGAAAAATGTCCATGATGGCAAGTGGGATCGTGAACAGGAAACCGCGGCTAAGGTTTAGTGGAAGCGAAAGAGATTCAGAAGAAATATCTGGAACAGAGTCAGAACGAGAAAAACAATTCTCAGGTGACAGTTCTACAGCAGGAGAAACATTATCCTGTGAAAAACTGTCTGAGAAAAATACTTCAGAAAAGAAAGAGCTTGGACTATTGAAATCTGGAGAAACTCCAGGGCCAGTTGTTAGAAATCGCCGGAAAGGAAAGTTCCTTCCTCCTTTGATAATACCTAAGAAAGGTAAGGATGAATTGTTCAATATAAGATTGAATTTAAGTGGATAAGCATTCGAACTAATGCTGCAAATTTGCCAGTCATTTAAACTTTACCACCTTAGTTCCATGAGCAAGGAAGCTAGTAGAAAAGTATGTGAAGCTGATATCAAACAAAAGTGATGTTTAGTGCTACACGTCGCACCAGGTACATTTGTATTAGATGAACGGTTTGCATGTTATGGCTCAAAGTAGTGGGGGAAGCACATCCCATACCCACATCTTTAGCATTGCTGGGTGCCTTTGTTATTGATGCATGAACGTATACTTGACTGTTTTAGAACAGCTGTTTTGAGATTTTGTAGTTTGTGTTAACCTAGCTAGATCACTAATAAAAGATGTAAACTAACAAATTCTGATATGATCTGCCATCTAAGCATTGCTAAAACATTTTATTGCTCATCACACCAGTCTATATACTCCTCCAATTTTGCACCATCTTAAATATGTACATATCATGTGATTATTCTCCACCAATAATATTGTGACCTATTTTGGCGCCACTATCTCCCTCTGCTATTCCCACCTAATCCTCACTTTCTCGGTTGGCACAGATTCGTTTAGATGTGCGTATTTTTGCATGTTGCTGCCGTTTGTGATTGTGCTTCTTTGCCATTTAAATTTTTTTCTAACAGTTTTCATGTGCTATGTTTTCATTCAATTGTTTCTACAATATATTTTTTGCATTTGTATCTTGTTACCAAATTATTCGTGAACTTTGTATGAACTTGCGATTCCATGTATTGTCTATGGTAGTTCCTGTTACAGTTGACAATTCTACTGGTATGACTTCCCAGGAATTGGGGTCGACTTTAGCTGCAAAGGAGGTACAGGCCTTAATTCACAGGAAGCTAGATACATATGTTTGGCTAGTGATCTATTTTTCCTTTTCAACCTGTCAATGTTGCTGAAGGTGAAGACAATCAAGAAGACAATTTGGACTCTGTTTTTCTGGCTCCTTCTTATTTTGGTTAGTCACACTCTACACTTCTTCAGGAGATTTCACCTTTCACACCTTTTTTTACAGCTTGTTACTTAGGTCAACAGCCGATTCATATTCAGTTTTTTCTGTATGTTCTAGACGAGGGTGATTTCTTTTTTCCTGCTTCTGTTGCCATACCTCCTTGTCATTCACTTTGGCAGAGGTTTGTTCTTCTCTTTTCTTCCTATTGCTTCCAGATCTTATAGTGAATCTGTGGTAAGTTTTCAACTTGTACACTTCACCTCTGGTTATGATACTCGTGGTAGGCGCAGCTCAAATACCCTTTGTCCTTCTTTACGCAAGGAAGTATTAAGTATTTCATAGCATCAGTTCTCAAACTTTGATAAGTTAAAAATGTATGCATCCTTTGTTGTCTTAAGTTCATTTAGATTTATTGTAAATTAGATATTGATTGTTACTTTGTTTTCTAGGTAATTTTAGTCAGATTACATGTTTGTTATTATTGTTGCTTACTTTGTAGCCTAGGTAAATTTTGGTGATTTCTCAGTTTGATATTAATAAGTACTTTGTTAACTTGGTATGTTTAGATAGTTTGTACTTTACATACCATTCCCACCAGTAACATATAATTCTTTGTTCTATCTGAACAATTTTTTTTGTCATTGTCCTAATTTTTTTGCATTACTACATTGCTGATGTGTTTGTTTCTTTCCTACGTTCATGATACTAGAAACCAATTTTTTTTCCTTGTACTCTATAATTTGGGGTTTATCCCCACAGTACCCACATGATTGATAGTTATTTATAGCTAGAAACTGAGTGTTCCTGTTTAGGGCCCTACCGTGTGGACTAACCTCGGCTCCTTATGTGTCTTGCCGGTTGGTAAGAACTTTTCCCGACATTTTCACTCAATAGGACTTCACACTCATCATTAAATGGAGGACTAGCTCCTGTTCACTTCTTCCTATTCACAATCTGGAGACCATACTTGTCTGCTTCTACAAGAATCAGCATGAGGGTTCCTGATAAAGGTGGAGAAGTCTGTTCTTACCCCCAATCAATACCTTGTTCATTTGGGAGTTTTCTTCAATTCCACCCACAGCTGGGCACAGCCATCTCCTACTCATTTTTGGGATTTGGAGCAAGCAGTGCACAAGGCCCTCACCTCACATTCTCTCACAGCTCTATCTTTTTTTTTTTGGAATGTGGGCTTTCTTGGGAGTTCTCATTCCCATGGGTCGAGCTCATATGTGTTTCCTTCAGTAGACACTCCTTGATCAGTGGAACTTCTACTTGGACCATCTTTCCCAGTCAGGGCCAACCTGGCTTTGTGGCTAGACAGGGGTTCTGCTTACTCTACCTCATCCAGATTTACTGCTGTTCACGGATGCACCTTTAGAGGGTTGGGGTGCTTACCTCGACTCTCGGGAGGTTTCCAGTCTCTTATCAGTTGAGGAGTCTTATCTCCATATCACCATTCTCAAATTTATGATGGTTCATCGAGCTTTGTCTCACTTCCTTCCTCTTCTGCAGGGGAGGGTGGTTATGGTACACTCCAGTTATTTATATCCCCAAGCAAGGTGGAACCAAATCCAGATCTCTGCACTTTCAGACCCTGGATCTTCTTTTCTGGGCCACCAGTCACCACATGGTTGTCTTAGCTTGCCATGTTCCTGGTGCCCTGAATCTGGTTGCAGATCATTTATCTTGACCCAACAAGATTCTCCCATGAAGTGGTCCCTCGATCCACAGGTCCTTTGGTGGGTGTGTTCTCCTAATTCTTCACCTAGTTGTTTGACAAAGGCTTGTCTGCTTGGACTGTGTCTAGCTGTCGGACAGCCTTGTCGAACACCTTCAGTTTCTCCAAGTGTTGTAAGGTCTTCTCTGTCATTTCTCTCCTTTTTTGCTCTTTTCAAGTTTGTCTTCCATGTTGCTTTGATTTGCCTGACTGGGATCTCAATATGGTCCTTTGTGCCCTTTTCCATACTGCCTTTGAACCTTTGTCTATGTGTTTCATGTGACATCTCTCACTCAAGACCTATTTCCTTCCACTCCTTACTTGTGGATGTTGTCTATCAGGTACTTATGCTATTAACATTACCCTTATCCTCTACCGTTCCTCTTATGTCATCCTATATCCCGGCTGTTCCTTCCTTTCTAAGACCTATGCTGCCCGTGAAGGTGGTTTGGCTTTTATCACCCATTTCCTTACCTTCCATCTCTCACCTGTATTTTCTTTCCAATCCTGATCAGTTTCTTTGTCCAGTTCACTTCTTATTGTGTTATGTGACATGTATTGCCTCCTTTCAGGGCTTACATTCCCAACTTTTTATTCCTTGGAACCCCTTCTGTTTCCCCCGAGCTATCCCATGTCACGCTAACTGGTTGGGGTTCGTCAGCTTGTTAGGCTGGCATATTTGGACTTATCCATGGAAGATTGCCATTTCCACAGCATTTCTTCTCCTTAGGTTAGTGGATTTATCCTGATTGTATATATATAATGAAATTTTTCATGTAGAGTTTAAAATTTATAAAAATTTTCCTTTCTTTTTAATCTGTAGAGTGTAATGAAAGTACCGGACAAGAATCTTTATTGACATCTCCCGTATCTCCAAGCCAGTCACAATTCCCTTCTTCTCAGCATTACACTCGAGCTTCAAAAACAAAGTCTCCAGGAAAGCCAGCAATGACAGTACAAAAGTCTCCGAAGGTGCCTAGACATAGTTGTGAGTCAACTCCTGATTCTAGGATGGACAACGTCAACCTTCCTGACCAAGTAATGCTACCCCCCTGTCTAACTCCTTGCAAGCCTCCTTCAACAGAATCTCTGGCACCTCCACCATTAACCAGTCCACCACCCAGTCCTCCGGCAACACGATCTACAAGAAGCGGAATACCTTTCTCACCCAGATCACATCGGGGTCTCCTTACTCCACCTGTGCTTGAACCTCAGGTTCCCCTAACTCCAGTCCAGTGGGAGGAGAAGGACAGTGTTAAAAGTGAAGATTCTTTATCTGGTCGAGGTATTCAAGCTCTATTTATTTTATTGCATTAGATAGAATTTTAGTTATGTTTCTGGACATCAAGAATATCATGATAGGATGAACAATTATAGTGGTAGTTTGACTGAAAGATGCAGTAAATGTAAAGAAAAATCCAAACGTCTGCTTGTAATGACATATTTTAAATGTCAGCAAATTTTATACAGGACAATACGTTAAAAAGTGTAGCGACTGTAAATTTTTAGAGTTTTACTTTAAAAGTTCACATTTTGGTTATTTTTTTATAAATTTTCTTTCAGTTTGGCTGATTATATTCTGGAGTTAATACTGTTACGTTACCCATAATTAACATCAATGGTGAAGTAATCATATTACTTGATTCTTACTAGCCTGATTGCAGACTTAAAGCATGAACATATCTTACTATATTATAGTAGGTTTATTTGTGTTTAACTTTCTTAAAAGATAAAGCTTACATTGCTGCGGTGTTTTTTGTGTAAATATCTTGTTTCTCGGATTTTTAGCCTTTAGTTATTTTACAAAGATGCATTAATTCTTGCGAATGTCTTGTCTTAGTTATGTAACATTGGATCTTCAAATGTGTTAGGTTTTAAAAGAGTGTAGGCCTAATTAAATGTTCAGAATTAACAGACAGCTTGTCTACACTGCCTTTCTTTCACAAGTTTTTCTAAAGTGTTGAATACAAATTGTATAACTTAAGACATTCATAAATGTTGATAATTTTTGAAGTTGTTTGTTTATCGAGTGGAACTTATTGCTGGAAGACTTCACGGTTTAGTAAAATAAGAATGAATCGGGCTACATCAAAATTTGTAATTACAGGCCAAGATTTTTTAGAGTATCTTGTGGCTTGTTATACGCATAACACTTGTTTCATTGAACCACAATGGAGAGGGTTCTTTTGTAGTGCAGTATCAAATATTCTTGTGCTATGTTGGTGGTGGGTTCAGCTCACTTTTGGATAGTGTTAGGGTTGTTTTTGGCAGCATAAGATGGACTGTTATAGTAATAAGATTTGGTCTCATACACAGGAAGGAGTATGAAGCAGAGAACATTCTCTTTGCCTGATGAAAAAGAAGTTACTCATGTCAGAAGGTCATTCAGAGTCAGTACTTTGAGACAGACGTCTGAGAGAGAGAGAGAAAGGCTTTGTGAACAGCAGGAATTGGAGAAGAATACATCTGAGAAAAAGATGAGGAAGGAGAACAGAAGTAGAAGTGAAAGAGGTAAAAAAAGATCGTGGTCAGAAAGTGATATTCTAGGAAGTACTGTAAAAAAAGGTGGGTAATTGTAGTTAGATAATATTTAAGAAGACTTAATCTTAGGATAGTACTTTCTAAGGTTTTATGAAAAAATACAGATTATTTTGTTAGGGCCAAATATTAAGGAAAGCTTACAAAGCATAAAATAATTTTATTTTCTGTTCCAGAATACTAGATTTCAGGGATAATGGTGTAGTAAAGACAAACATCCATTTTATTTATATATAAAAAAAGATGGTATAAGATAATTTGATTTAACCCATTTAGTGCACACCAACGTATCACATTTAAAAATTAAAGTAAAAATATTAATTCTACCTGTATTTCAACACATTAAATTAAAAAATTTTTGAGATTTGGTATTTTGTAGTTTTGTAACATTTATTTAACGTAATTCACAAAGAAAAAATTAAGAATATATTACATCTTTGTTTTCTGCTCCCGTCAGTAATGCATTTAACATTTTACTTCTTAGAATGCCTTTGCCCATCCCAAAGTAAAGATTCATATTTGGTATGAAACTGTCATTCCTTCTTGGGTTTTGTTACTACAGTCCTTCTTTTCCCTTCATTTAAATATTAAAACCTTCTTACCGATAAAACTTGTGTACTTGAGAATGTTTGTAGCAGTTTTAAAAAAACTCTTCCTCACTGTAAAAGCTTTGTAATAAAACAATACTTATAATCAGTAATTAAACTCAAAACGAAAATATTAATAGTTATTGTTTGTTTTTATATTTTATACAAGATGTCATTAAAAATAATCATCCCAAAGCCAAGAAGAAAATAATTTCTTGTATTGTGATTAGTAATTTGTGTGATGACTTATGTTGTTATTGTATGATGGCTTTATTCTTGCTGTATGTTTAGTTCTGTTTGTTTCGGTGCTGAAAATATAATCTCAAAGTGTTCTTTCTTAAGTTGAGCATCACACTCTTGTTCGTGCAGCAGGACTTGCAAGTTATTATAAGAGCTAGTTAATGAATGCTCTTTAATTCTTTGTTATAGACATAAGATTGTGGATCTGATATTGCTCTTGTAGCACTGAGGACAGGTATGTTTATACACAGTTAGTGATCTTTAGATTTAAGGACTTTTGTCCTTGGTTGAAAAAAGGCTATAAATCTTGAAAGCATTTTTGAAGAAAATATGAAGGTTAATCAGTGGATGTGCATTTCCCAAAAGTTTTATAATGGGATCTTTTATGATCTGTCACCAGTAATATTCAAAAATCTCTGAATAAACACTGTGATTCCTTCAACTGTAAACAGACTGACCAAACACTTGTTGTTAAACTATATTAGTGATAGATCGTTTATCCTATTCCAAAAGTTTTATAATGGAATCTTTTATGATAAATTATCTGTACCAGTAATATCTGAAAATCTCTGAATAAATCACTGTGATTCTTTCAACTGTAAACAGACTGACCAAACACTTGTTGTTAAACTATATTAGTGATAGATCGTTTATCCTATTCCAAAAGTTTTATAATGGAATCTTTTATGATAAATTATCTGTAACCACTAATATTTGAAAATCTCTGAATAAATCACTGTGATTCTTTCAACTGTAAACAGACTGACCAAACACTTGTTGTTAATCTATATTGGTGATAGATCGTTTGTCTTAAAGGATCAACTTATACAACTTTTGGGGAATGCATATTCGCAGAATAATTTTGTCTTATCTTTAGAATTCCTTTCACGAGTTACAGCCTCTTTAACCCCCATACATTAATGGTTGTGTATCAGTATTCTTGTCCTTAGTGCTATATTAGGTCCACGATCCAATATTTATAACAAAGAACAAGGGAACATTTACCTATCTATAACACCTCATAGATGCTACTTCATGCACAAGAACTCTCTTGCATAACTATTTTTCATACAAAGTATGATGCTGAAATCATGAACGAACAGCTTGAGATTTTAATTTCACCGTTGAATGAAACAGAACTATCTTAAGAGAGAGAGAACAACCATCAGTACAATGAAATCTTCACAAATCATCATCCATTAAAAAAAACCTCAAATGAATTTTGTATTCCACAAAAAAACTGTTTTATAAAAATGATAAAGAAAAAAAAAAACCTTTCAAATAAAATTGAATTGTTTTAACTAAATGTGTAGAAGACAGCATGGTCAGTCTTCCGCATAGATGTGGAGTGATACAGTTATGGTTAAATATGTAATGGTGAGATAAAGAAAAATATTTATAATAAACATCACTTACTTTGTTTATTACTGTTTACAGCTTACAGTGACTATTACATGCACATCTTTTTTTTTAAAGAAAATGAAGAGAAGAGAATTGCCAGATGAAAAGGAGTCCCCATTACACTAATTGCTATTAGCAGCTCACGATCTTCCACAGTTAACCTGCTTTGTTTTACCATATTTTTTGTATTGTGAACCATTGTCAGTAATTTATTGCTCTGATTGAAAGGTTGTACATACGCACATACCATATGCAGATGTGAATATTTATATAATGTAATCACACTTCACAATGTACACATTATCTTGTATCTACTTCTATACTTTTTCATAAATAAATTTCATGGTATAAATAAGTGTGAGGGAATATTTAACAGTTTGATTAGACACAGAATTGTCTTAGTCTTGAGGAAAAAAAGGGAGTTTAAATTATTTGAAGTGACTTAAGCAAAAGTAGTATCAAGTAATAATTCTGATACAATATCTTATCTCCCCTCACTTAATAGCTTCTCTCAGTGCTGCCTTCTATATGTACACATTTTTTTCACTCTCCATTAGGCTTGAAAATCCCACCTCTCCCACATTCAACGGGGTTCTACTGCGTCTTCACATGCAATAAGCATGCAGAAAACCTCCACCAATAGCAGTATCCCACACACTCCTGATGCAAGTTACTCCTTCTATACTATTACAGCCTAACCTTCACTTCTAGTTTAGACACAGTTGTGTTCAGATGTTACAACATTTTGCTCATGTTTTCAACTTTAAACTGGATTTTTTTTTCTTGAAGTAGTAGTTTAACGTATGACTTTGAATGAAAGTAAACTTAACTTTTAGTGGAATTACCTCATTTGAAACATGAATTCTGAATTTTATGCCACGAATATCGCTGTCGTGACTACTACTACTTAGTCTGTTGTTTCTCAGATTTCAGGTTCTACACTTGTGGCTGAGGAGGTCTCGGCCTTAGTTTGATGGGAGTTTGAACACTTTTCTCCTTCTCCTACAGGGTCATGTCCTTTATAGGTTGTGGAACCTGCTCAGTGGTAATTGGTGCCTGTTCAAGTATACTAATTGGCTATCAGCTGCAAGATCTGCACTGTATGGCCTATTACACAAGAGTATGCATATTACTGACAGGGGTACCCTGGCACACCACCTCTAAGGGAATGGGACCTGTAGGCTGGTATAGCAAGGAGCTGGATTAGGCTAATGGTTGGCTGGGGCACCCCACTAGCTCAACCTACTGGGGCTTGACCCACCAACCTACATATATACACCTCTCTCCAGGCCAATAACACACACTGTTGCAATGGGGTGTTCCATGAAACTGATAGTAGGTTCACCTTGTGGTATATTGCATCATAATTGTGCCTGTCCCAGACTGTACTAACTCATGGACTATTATGAGTGAAGCAGAAGGGGTTGCTGTCCATCCCTGCCATTTCTTTGATTGAATAAATTGAGAATGGTCTACTTTTCAAATTAGGGTTACTGTGGTCACCCATTTCACAGTTGCTGGTGTAGTTCTTCTCTGGACTCTCCACTGCCCCCCTTCCTGCAAGTGGAGTACAAGAGTCCTTACCACTTCTTAGTTTCTAGCCACTGGGATGGTGGACATGGAGGTTTCTTCCTGAATGTGCTCCTCAATCCTATTCAGTAGAGAATAGGGCAGTGGTGTTTTGCCAGTCTTGATGCTGTAGATCCTCCCACTTATTCGTAAACTGGAGTAGATCCACCAAAATGCAGTTCACCCTTCTGGTTGGGACCCCTCATCCCACCATTCATTTCCTGGATGGTAGGTTTTGGATTAGAACTAGATCAGCCGACACAAGTCCTCATGCATGTGTTGGTCAGAATCCCTCATCCTACCATGAACACGATGTACTAGTTGGTCAGTGTATCCCCAGTGTACCTCCTCCATCAAGCTGAAGCTTGAGAATTTGGTTTTGCAAGGAGCTGGACTTGCTGACAGGTACTCTGGTTGGCTGGAGTAACCCTGGCATATACCACCTACGGGTCGCGACTTGTAAGTTCTGGTAGTTCATGGAGCTGGGCCAGAAACTAGAAGTCTGGTTTTGCATTTGAGTGTTAATCATCACACAGGCACTTCTCTGTCTACTGTCACTTGGATGCCGAGTTCCTGAGTGGTTGGTGTTGGTTGAGGATTTGTGAACATGTGCCCTGTATAGACAAATGGGACAGAACAGTTTTCCTTCTGTCTCATAGGCTTGAGGTGAAGATGGTAGGGACCCTCTTCCTACCACAGAGCGGAAGATAAATATCGATGCCACCTGGTTTTGGACTGGAGTTGACCCACCAAGTACGGTCTAACATGCCCTAGTCATTATACACTGTAGGGCATATCTTTGGCTGGGAACCCTCCATCCTACAATCTTCTGGGTGTCGGTTCCTGGGAGTTCAGTTTTAGTGTTGAGCTGGACTAACCAACATGTATGCAGTCTAGGTTGTGCTACACCTATTTTCCACCTAATTCTATAACACTTACTACCTCATTGGGCATGGATTATACCTGGTACAGATGTGTTGGGTCTCCCACGGGTGTGTTTCTCTCTCAGTAGAGTCACACTCCACTTTCCGAAGGGTGCTTATCTAGGTAACTTTTGCACTGGTCCCTCCATCTTTTCATTGTAGGATTCTACACTGAAAATATATTTCTGATAGGTACTTACTTCTTCTCACACTTCCCAACCTTCCTGTGCTTCTTTTGTTAGGTTGGGCTAAATAGTATAAAAGGACTAACTTGTGTCAGGAGAGTGTTTCTTGCTCCTATTGGTGGAGGGTTGCTGCTTGCAAAGATGCAGTAGATTCACGTTGAATGTGGGGTAGATGGGAGTTTCAAGTCTAGTGGCAAGCAAAAAAATGTGTGCGTATAGAGGGCAGCACTGAATGAGAGAAGCTTCTATGTGAGAGAGGTAGGTAGGTAGGTACCTATCAGAAATATATTTGACAGTGTAGAAAAATATTAACTCTTACAATTTTGAATAGACAACTTGTAACTTGTTAGCATGTGCTTTTGTGGATGTGTGCAACACTTATGTGCACTTCTTTTTTGAATGAAATCTTTGCTTTTTATCCTTTTCTTAGAGTTCTTAAAAAAACACAAAAAAACTTTTTCTTCATTCATTGAGTAGCACAGTATAAAACTACTTTCCAGTAGTAATAAAGCATAAGATTACTGTATTAGTAGTAGTAGTCTTGTGGATTTATTTCAATGTACAGGATTTTATTATAAGGTTAGGTGTTGTAATATAATGTTCATTACTTTAACTAAACCTCAGAGAGTTGTAACAATTAACAGGTAATAATGGAACGATGATAAAAGAAATTCCAGTGCCAAAAATAATTGTCGCTAGGAACACTGGTTATGAAATTTGTGTTTCTTGTTTTATAATGTTTGCTGTAGCCACCATTCGTGTTTCTATTCTTGTTTTATAATGTTTGCTCTAGCCACCATTTGTGTTCCTATTTGCTTGCATTCAGTAGTCAGTATAATTTCACTGTTGGACAACATTGTTCTATTTTTGACAGTGGCATATGGCATCTAATGCGAACTTTCATATCTTTAAAGGTAGAGGGTACAACTAATGGCTTGAGGTGGGCCCACTACCAAACAATGAGCAGGGATACAAACTGCAGACCATGCTGGCTATGTGTATGAAAAATATCTGATTATTGCTCGGCAACTGAAAGCATGTCTGATCATGTTCTTGACAGTCTGTGCAGTGTGAAGTGGTGAGGCACCATCTTGAATAAAGAGTTTTTACTCAAAACTCATCTAGCTTAAGTGTAGGAATGACAGTGTGGTCCAATGTAGATCACAGTATTTACCATTTACTTACACTGTGTGAAATTTATTGAGAGTTCCTCAAAGAAATGAGTCTTAGTGTGAAGCTTACCTGTAACTCCAAAACTCACTGTAGCCTTATAATTAGGCCGGGGCAATGTGCATGTGTTTTTGTCCAATGAATATGATTACTGGCTAAATGAATGCAGATTGAATTGAATTCTGACATGCGAGATGCTGATTTTACAAAAACTTGGGTATGCAAATTTCATGATCAGTGCCTCTTATTCTTGATAGCGGAGTCTTCTAATCATCTTAATAATTCCTTTACTAAATATTATAAATCATAGATGCTTGATTTTTGGGTCACTGATGATGGAGTAACCCCTGTGTGTAAAATAGCATGTAGACTGGGGTAATAAGAAAAGGTGGAACAGGGGGTCACACTGGCCAACTGGAAGACCAGAGGGTGGAAATATGTAAGAAGGGCAGATGCTACTTAAATCAAATTGAATTGGGCATTACAACTAAATCAACCTAGAGGAGGCTTACTGGAGGGAGAAAAATGTGTATCAAGTACCCCAAGAATACAGCAGTAGTAGAAGTAATACTGAAACCATCTTATTTACATTGAGTACTTGGTGTTACAAATTAAAATAATTATAATAAAAAAAATGACAGAGGAATTAATAATAATAAAATATAAAACAAAAGTGGTTGCTGCTGGCCAGTTGCCTCTGGTTGGCTTTCAGAATTATTGATGGCACAATGCTACCAATTGATTGTACACTGACAAACTTCCTGCAGAGGGACTCTTCAATTGGACAGAGGACAGCTAGTGCTAAGCTCCCCTAGTTTGTAAATAATTAAATAGTGTAGAGATTTATTCAGTTTTTATGCTTTTTTTTTAAGAGTCAAATGTCTTCTGTTCTACTTCAAGTTTTTAGAAAATTCCACAGACAACTTTCAAATGAATCCAAATTGGTAAATATTTTGGAATCAGAATTATTTGATACCATTTCTAGGGGGAGGAGAGATTAATTGAATGTATATACTGTGTTAACTGGTATTCTAGAAACATGCATAGAATTTTCCAACATTTCATATATTTGAGGTTGTGTTTTATTGTAAGGGAAGGCATTACGACAAATAGCATACAGTGGTTATCAGATAAGATAGTTGACTCAGTTTAGAAACTTATGAAAGTAAAGAAAACATAGATTTGTTATTCTATGCCAGATTATTTGCCTTGGAGCTCTTTGCTGTCTGAGAATTGTGAATCTCTAAGGATTATTGACATTCCGGAACTCAAAAAATGGCACCACAAGTTTGAAATTACCATGGCTATACTTGTCGGTCAAATTGTCACTAGCCACCACGTGTGTGGTCATTTACATGTTTTTAGAAGTTACAGCTTAAATGCCAAAAAGTGGTGATGAATTAGAAAACAACAGGCCTAAATTTTGTGATAAAAATTAACTTTAACACATTCCCTTAATTTGCTATTTTTGCATATCTTTCATTTTGAATCTGCAATGAACAAATAAAGGGTAATGTAGGAAAAAACAACAACACTTGTCAACATGATTTACAATACTTTGAAATGAAGGATTCAAATTCAAGGACCGTTTGATTATAATCTCTGTTAAGTTGGTTTAGCACTAAAACCAAAGTGTTTCTGAAAATTAATACATTCTTTAATAATTTTATTTTTCTGTAAATACTTAAGGGAAACAGTGTAGATGACTGTTAGTGGTATATGTGGCATGGACAGATTATTAGGTGTGTTCTGTTTTTATTTTTCACCAGATGATTTGAGAACTTAAAAGTGTAACAACAAACTTTACCTTAAACTCGTACTGTTAATCCTATGAAGGGGTGGGGTCATTGCTTTTATAATAAAACGCTGTGATCACATGTTTGGGTTGTATTTAAATCACTATTTTATCGCTATGTTTCTCGGGCATTATTCAAACAACAAAACACAATGTCATGTGCATAGTGACCCGGACTTCTAATTTGAAATGAAAATTAAGTGTAATAGAACCTGAATGTTACTCCAATTATTAAGAAGAATAGTTACTCATTTATATTTTTACACTGCACCAAATACTGAAATCTAATGGGTTAAAATTCATTTCCAACAAAAAATGAATTGGTTCAGATATAACAGAAACTAACATTTGAAATTTTCTAAGTGTATTAAAGTTTAGTAAGTATAATATTACAACCATTTCCCAAACATAGTGTTTAAACATCTGCTTTGAACTAAAAAAAAGTGGAATTTCCGAACAGTAGCTCACCAAGTATTATTTAGATTGTGTTTACTGCTGTGGTTTAGCAGGTGTTTAATTTCCCAAGCCCAGATTTTAAGTTGATATAGTTGGACTTTACTGACGTCAACGATCGAAAATAGGCCTATCACAATAGATTACAGAGCGTGACGTGCGTGCTAAGCCTCGATTTTCATCATCTTGCAGCGTTTTCCGAGTACTCGTTGTGCCTTGCCATGAACAATAATTTCTCCCATTAATTCATGTGTGAGCTTCCACTGTCTTAATTCCAACCTGTTTTTCATTTTATTTGTGCTGTCCCAAAGGGAAGAAACATCAAAACTACACGGTAGTGTATTATAACCTTGAAGTTTATTTAAGAAATGTCTGGGAACTATAATAGTTATTTGTGGAGAGAATAACTGAACTTAAATAATTTAATTGGGTTCAAACTGGAACTTCTTTGAGTTCTGCTTTGAACAACTTTGCACCATGTCAGTTCTAAACGTATAACTAGTTCAACATTGGACTAATGTGAAATCCTGATTCTTAAGAAGAGCGTCTTTGAACTACTAAAAGCTCTACGTTGAACTTGTGGTAGTTAAACATAGAACCATGATCTAGTTCTACGTTTAACCAAGCTTTTGTTAAACATCTACAGGCACCAGAATTACGTACGGTTAAACTTTGAACAAGTATAGGTTCAACACTCAACTTGTGAGAGTTAAAACACAGAATCATGACTTAGTTCTACGTTCAACCAAGCTTTGGTTAAACAAATAACTAATGATTAGATACAACTGAGTTAAATCTTACTATAATGGAATATATGTATCTATATAATATATATATGTGTGACCGAAATAATAAATATAATGTGGCGCCATCTATTGAACGGCACCACAAACAAATCCATAAAAACATTTCGCACTTTGGGTAATCAAGATAAAGACAATTTGAAAGATAACTGCGGTATGTGCAACAACCATTTCTTTAACACAACACAATTTTAAATAAAAAATACTCTCATCACAACAAGAACACGACTTTCACTATGACTGTACGTGAGGGTTTGATTATATCTTTGTTGATGTAATTTGTAAATATTGTATTAAAAAAATGGAGTTCTTAAAAACTTATTTTTTCAATAAAGGGTACCACGTTTAATATATAAAAACATTACAGTTTACATCAGCACAATCCGAACACTTTTTCTGTGCATTACTTCCCAGAAAAATCCTTTTTTAGAAAGTGTTCACCTTTTCTAAATTTTTTTAATGAACTATGAATACTACAACTAGTAATTACCAAAACAAACAGCCGCCTGTAGGGCGGCGTTTCTGCTAGGCTGCTAAATAGTTCTAGGTTTATTTACAGCGCATGCTTTTAACATGAAATAAGATGGTTGATTATATGTTGCCATTAATGATAGTATCGGGAAATATAAATGTTCTAATTTAATACTGCATGTATCATGAAAAGAGCAAGGATGATTTTGTTTATTTAGTATTTCATAGTGAAATTAAATTAAAGTTAATAAGAAATTAGTACACATTACGTTTAGCATTTCACTTGATGAGCTTAGTTTACCTATTTTTGTTTTGTAAGAAGATTGTAACAAGAACATGTAGTGTTTTGTTTTTTAAAGAAACTTGTAACATGAACACGTGTTTTGTAAGAAACTTGTTACATGAACATATGTTTTGTTCTGTAAGAAACTTGTAATATGAACGTGTTTTGTTCTGTAAGAAGCTTGTTTTGTGACTTACGATAAATTCTGAACAGTAAAATTGTTAATACACGCTTTGGCAAGAAAGATATGGTAAAGTACTAATAATTAATTTTTTTATTACCAAAAATTGTTTTGAAGCAAAACATTAAGATTTTCATACGTCGTATATAATCTTTCTTAACGGTAAGATAAATTTACCTTAAAAACTATGTAAACAATACCTAAATTTTCTTTCCATTTGCTGGTGCTTATATTTTCGATTCTTTTCTGTCATGCCTACTGATTTTTAACTTCAATTTTATTTTCAATCGTCAATTATTTCAGAAACAAAGCAAAAGCTCTGATGTAATGAGACACTGATATTTTGTTTGAATCTGGGCAGTAAAGACTAGGG